AATTAAAAGGCCGGCTAAAGTCGTAAAAAAACATCATATAAGTAATGCGTATATAAATTATAACAACGTTAATTGATAATAAAATGCAGAATATTACTCATTTTTGGAGACACTACTAAATTATTAAATTCATCATTTTCAATAATTGCACTAAAAAATACAGATAAAATTGTTAAAAAATAAAATTGTTAAAAAATTCCAGTTAAAGATAGCAAATGACATACATTTGTATACAACTAATAATTGTACCCCAAAATCCCATTTGACCAATGACCTCATGCAATGGTCTTTCCTTTACGCAAATCTCTTCAAATACATTTGATATACCGTAGCAAGTTGCTGCAATAATGGCAAATATATCACCTTTGATTGGATCTTTAGCTAAAGTCATAAACAAGTAGATTTAATATATTAAGCATCTTATAGACTATTAAACGCCTTATAAATTTTAGAAATAAAATAAAAAACTAGTTCACTAACCAATATTCATATTTTTACCAATATCAAAATCACCCAAGATCACTATTCCAAAACCTATCATACAAATAGTAATACCCAAATATTGACTTGAGCGATATGTTACTTTCAAGAATATAAGTGATAAAACTGCAACTATAGGTGTTGTCCATGCATCGAGTAACATGAGAGAAAGTGCAGATGTGTATTCAAAAGCTTTTACAATTAAATAATTTCCTTGAACATTCATAAAAGCAATTAGAATATCTAAACATATATAAATATCATTAATACGTTTATTTCATTCCGATCAATGTTAATCTTTATGTAAATTAAATCTTACTTGAAAAATGAATTATATAAAACTTACATTTCCAAGCCCTGATTTTCATCATTTTTAAAAATCCCTCAAGCCCGTATTTATCAATAGTAATCGGCGTACAAGTGATAAATAACACGAAATACGTTAAAAAATTTTGAACAGTAGGTGCTTTAATTTTCAATTCTGCAGTTGCCACTATTGTGGAGGTAATACAAAATGAAAGAAATTGTCCAAATAAAAATATTATAAGAAATTGGTTTGTAAACATTGGCGAAAAACTAGTTTTAATCCACGAGATCCATGAGGATCTTTCTTTTGACGATAATTCTTGTTCATGAAAAAGCGGTTCAGTTGTAGAGGCAGAAGAAAGGGAATCGGATGACATCTTTGTTTACAATATAAAGTATAAAGTATATAAGAGTATACGGAACAAATTTTTTTTTGATTCTTATCTTAAATTAACCTACAACCAAGCTTTTTATTTAAAAAAAAAAAAAAGATTCGGTCAAAATTAATTTTGTATGACTTACAAATCATACTTACAAATCATCGCTTCCTAAAAAAAGATCTCTCGTAATCTTTTGCCGGCAAAAAAAAACCGAATAAACCGAATTCACATTGTATTAAAATTTCCTAATAAATAATGTCACTCAAAATGCTTAAAATTGATCATCTAATATTTCGAACAATGTCGTTGGTCTTTTCGATTAGTGATGATATTCCAGGAATTTGGAACGTCTCAAAAAGTATTAGATATGATGATCAAGTATATACCGACCGTATGAATACGTGTGTATATCGATCGTTATAGAATTGAAGATTGTCATAAAAATGCATTGAATATGAGCAATCAATACCAACCTTAGCATATAAATTAACACGTATTTGAAAATCACCGGAAGTACTTGTCGATCATACAAATATTAATACACAATGATGCCTGGGGTAATAAACGTTTCAATATGTCAATCTTTTGCTCAAATAGTTAGCCTTTGACAATAAAATTAATAATTTTATGTCGAACATTAAGATTCCACGTGATAGCACAGATTTAGATTTATTAAATCAATTCTTAATCGTGGTGCATAATCTAATAACATTGATCTCTAAACTTTATTACCGTAGTACTGTATTGAATCTTTTACTTTCTTTTCTTTTTTTTACAATTAATAAGCTTCTTCATGTATTAAAATAATTTTCTTTCTATCAGTTCTTTTGTCTCTTTATGGGATACAAATAATCTCATTTTGGATCTATTTTAAATATCTTTTCATCGATCTTCTCCAGATTTCAAAACAATTTCTAATTGGTTTATTAATTTAATCTAATTGCCGATTCTCATATAACGTACGTACGTATATGTATTACTTGTATACATGTCACAGACCTTCAAGTATTTTGGCAATGATTTCTAATATCCACAATCATTACAAACTTATTTTCTGTAAAATTACTTTGTTAAAAAACTATATTGTTACACTCGAAAATAATATGCCCTTAAAAATCCCAATCATAGGGCAGACTTGAAGACTTCGTGTAACAATGGACGCATAACTACCACACGAAAGAGGCGTACGAATTTGGCCGGGTAAGTATTTTAATTAATACTTTATTGTGTGAATCGTGAATTGTTCTTTTTGTTCTTTTTGCTTAAGAGATTTACACTACTTTTATATCTTGTTACTTTCTCCTAATTATACCGAATTTACTAAATATGCAAATCTACTAAATATGCAAATTTACTAAATATGCGCTTTCTACTAAATACCAAGTTATGCTAATTATGTAATATTTGCTAAGTATACTATATGCGATATTTTGCAAATTATGCTATATGTTAATATCAATATGCTCGTTACTTTCCAATAATTACATACTCAGTTCTGCAAGTTGCCTTATACATTGTTAATCTATTTTTCTGGTGCGACAATATGAATCTACATGAATTTATACTAATTACATAATTTCTTACCAGTTACATGATGTGTCATACGTAAATTTTTTTTTTTTTTAAGAGTGAGGCCTGACCCCATAGGAAGACTTTCGTATGATTGGCTGTTTAAATCAATTTAATTTTACATTATTTATACGGACACGTATCACTTCACCGACGCTCATTTCGTAGACATAATATTTCACCGACAAAAATTCACCGACAAAAATTCACCGACAATTATTTCACCAAGTTTATTTCACCGACAAGTTCATTTCACCGACAGTTTATTTCACCGAAGCTCATTTCAAATACAAGCTTTTTTT